TAGGTCTTCCAAGTGGTCTCTTCCCTTAAGGCTTTCCAATGAATCTGCTGAGTTTTGTATGTGTGTTAGCTTATTGTTTTGTGTTGACAGTCTTCTGAGGTTGGCTTGCTCCTGCAGGAGCAAGAGAAAGCAGGCCGCCTGGTCGCTGCGATCTGTGCTGGTGAGTGGACTTGCTCAGTTCTTTCTACCGATAGTACACTTAATCCAAACTACATCCTCAAAAGACATTTCTTTAAGGTCCATTTAAATATTTTCATCATGTGCCTTTGTGTTTCTGTTAGCTTTTATCTAAGAGGGTTCCCATAAAAAGTTTGTATTTCTTTCTTGTTTCCTATACCTGTGCTATGTTATCAGTTCTCTGCTTTCAGAATCCTGATTGAAGACGTTTTTGTTGCAGCTCCAACTGCCCTGCTAGCCCACAATGTTGGCATTGGCAAGTCCCTTACATCATACCCGATATTCAAAGAGAAGTTGCAGGAAAAGTACTTTTACAAGGAGGACAATGTGGTAGTGGACGGTTGGTATATCTGAGCCTGTTGTCAGTCCCTTCACCCTTCGAGTATTTCATACTGGGTGCTGTGTAAATTAGGAGGAAGATGAAAGGTGTGTATTGAATGATGTGTTGCTTGTTCCAGATAACTTAGTGACGAGCCGAGGCCCAGCCACGGCTTTTGACTTTGCTCTCGCCATTGCCGATATTCTTCTGGGTGCTGGTACTTCTAAGCCAGTGGCTAAAGCATTGCTCAAAGTCTGAACTGTAGCAAGTAGAATGAAATGTATTACATGGTTTGTGATATATTTTGGGTGCTGAGGCATCAGTAAAGTGTTGCAAACAAACAAGAAAATGTCTTGTTTCCCATTTGTGAGGTCTTCTTGCTGTTCACAAACTCTCAAGACTAGAAGTGTTGGTTTTGTTGTGTTAAGCAAAGTTCTGTGCCTACCACGAAGCCTAGAGTTAAGAATATGTAAAGCTCTACCTCCTACAGTTCTTCATGGTGTGGTACTTAGGTGTACCATGGGGCATACAGAGGAAAAGGTATGTGTAATGAAGATCATGTTACTGATAAGCTAAAATACCGTAACTCCTCACGTTGGCCAGAACTTGCCATACTGGTCTTTGCTAGCATTTCCATAGTCAATACAAGGTTTATTCTGAAGCTGAAAGTTTATACACAGAAAAATGGGATATCTCTAAATGTGTTTACTATTTTGTTTGTGGTAAGTCCATGGTACAGTGTGAAGCCATCATTTGGCTGTTTGAGAAATTTCCTGTTTTTGTATTATTTCAAAGTTAGATTTGAGGTTTTCAAGATGACATGAATATAGATTATGAGCTAGGTTGTTAATGGTATAGTATTTAGATGTGTGCCAACATTCCAGAGAAAGATACCGAGTGCATTATCAGGGCTGCAGTTAAGAGTGTTAGGAAGTGTTTGATTAATACAAGGATATGCGACAGATCTACCCCAGGAAGTGGCCAGTCAGAGCACTGAGGTATGCTCCAAAAAGGACTCTGTGCTATAGGCAGGGTCTCACAAATTGTGTAAGGGCTGATAAAATGTGAAAAATATGGTATTTGTGTCCACTAAATTATATTTAATTTCTGATGCAAGGAGAAATCTAGGTTATATATGCAAGTGACATGATCCCTGCCTCTGATGCTGTCTTCTGATCAGTGTTCCTCTATTATGTCATGCAGAAGTTTGTAAGGGTTTATGTTTTGTTAGGGAAAGTCTCAAGTTTTTTGGTAGTGGATTGTTAAAAAGGAAAGAGATATCATCATTAGACCTTCAGGTTTGACTTTTATTATATAAGAATAAAGGATTTGAACCCTGGTACTGAAGGGGCTGATGGCCATACTTTAAGTACGTGGTTAATAATTTAATGTTGGGCTAATGCAACCCACAGCCAGCTGGACCTGGCTTAAGCAGTGACAACTGATTAATATGTAATAGACTTAAAGCAATTAAGTTTTTGGACATTGTCTATTGTCTTGAATTTTTTTGTTAAAAACATGGCATTGCAGAGACTGGAATCTGTCTCTCTCCTCAAGTAAATAACTTCTCCACTGGGCCCAATTGATAGAGCTAGTCCATATCTCCGATAGAGCATCCAGAGTTAGGGACTGGCTCTATCAATCAAGACGATGGATAACATCCAGATTTAGTTTGTATTCTTAACTGTAATGCTCCCTCTACCACTGGATCCAATTCACAATTTTTTTCTGTAAAATAATCCACCTATATGCTTTACAGCAGATGAATCCCATGAAAATAAAAAAAAATGGCTGTTATTTTGATTTGGTTTAGATGTAAGTACTAATGATGTATAGGCCCAACTAGAGAAGGTGGTGCTCCTGTTCTGGCAAAATTTTAATGGAGCTTGCTATCAGAATTTTTGGCTAAAATGCATTTTATGGTGCATGTTTCATTCATTCCTCAAAGATAAAATCAAGTTGGCTTTCACTGTTGCATAAATGTTTGAGTGTCACGTTCAGTTAAGTAATGACTCACATGAAACTAATGAGCATATGGTTACCAAAATAGAATTGGTGTTTTGACCTTAAGGCCTTTATTGATAGAATGAGGGTTAGTACTGACTAAAGGTTTTACAAAGAGGTTGACAATAATTTTTGCATGGGACAGTTTCTGAGCGACTGGTGTAAGAAAAAAATAAGTTACTCAGAATATTAATTATTCACTTTGATCAGACTTATAGGCACAGCATAGGCATAATAAATTAATCTGGACAAAAACCAAATGCAGAGTGGCCTTGGCGGATTTTCTCATACACGGTAGTAGGTATAGTAAATGAAAATGGCAGAAGCAAATACATCAACTAGGGAATTAAGTAAATAAATTGTATGCAAGAGCTAGTTTTATTTGTCAAATTATTTGTATATGTCAGGATTCTGGAAGCACACGTGTACCAACATCACAGTGGGCACAGATTGCAACCTCTCGTTCGCTTCATAATTAATACATAAGTTTCTTGTTAAATGAAATTATTTATCTGAAAGCCCTTAAAATTCTTCCATATTTCTGTCTCCATCCTCTTTAATCCATCACACCAAGACTCGTCTCCACCTGCTCTGCAAGTTTTAGTACCAGTCCGGGCAATAGGTGTAAACGGTAAATTTGGTATGGTGCTCTAGGCGCGTTTGAAGTGCTGTGGTTTAGTAATGTTCCATTGTTGAAGTAGTTTAGGTATTGAATTTCACTGTTATCGGTCCGTGTTGTTGTCATGAAGTTTAGCATTCTTAGTAAGATTCATAGTTTTTAAAATTATTGTTTATATTGATTGAATGTACCATCAGAATTTAAAGTAAAATTGTGTTTTGGTTATATCAGTGCTGTCTTTGCTACTGCATATTGCAAACCTGTAAGGCAACTGCGAATCAAGTGTCGGGATTATTAAATAATAATGCATGAATAGCATTACAGGAATGTGCAGTTTAATATAAAATTGTGTATTCGTTTACATATGCCACTTAGCAAACTTGTTTTTTAAATTGCATAAGATATGCATAATTGTCATTGTTAATTCTCTCATTGCAGGTAAGTTGATTTTCAGTGGAGTTATTTTAAATTTCTAATTCAGGTGGAATTACATTCCTATTACTCTTTTTAAAATGCCGACATTATTCGATCTATTTTCTTCCGCAGAGTTCTTGTCTTTTTTTCCCCTTTGCCGCGTTTCGTTTTAGAGTAGTCGCCATCTTTCACGAGCTCGACTCTGCCAGCTAGAGCAGACGAGTTTCGTGTATTTTGAAAAGGGGATTGGGGCTTTTTGTGGTGCTGATAGTGGTGTTATTTATTGCTCATGGTAAGTTTATATTTTATTGTTCGGTATTGTGTTTGCAGTGCTTTATAAGTGAATATAACTGCACGATGTTACAGAGTTTGTGTTGTAAGATAAACTTCAAAACCAGGGGAAAGGGAATATTAGTCTACTGATTTGCTCGTCAACTGGCATACTTTATTGGATAGTCGACCAATTCATGTTAACATATTCGTAGGTGCCGTGATATTAATATTTTTTGCCATGCTAGTTGGTCGAGGTTAATTACCAATTCAAGACCATTGCAACAGATTGATAGTTAGTATATGATTGTGTTTTTAAATCCGTGTAGCCATCCTTGGAGCAAGATCGGTTATTTTATGCATCAAATTGTCATCTGCATAATTTAAAACGAATTAATTTGCATATACAATGTGTATTAGTAACGATATCTTTACATTTACAGTCTATGAAGTAATGCTAAATTTGTTACTCGTTGTTGCTATTTTAACTAGCAGTGATAATGTTGCATTGCATAGTTTCGTTTATTTATTTGTTGATTAAAAACCACGTTTGAAATATTTTTTATTGTAGCTCTAACCTTTGTCGTATCTGAACTGCACATTTCAAGATGTTAGTGGTCCCAGTACGTATTTAGGTATCCATAATTTAGGCAGTTATGCTCCTTCAGATCCTGATTTTTGTGTGCGAACTAAAGGAAATGAAAATAAATTTGTATGCGAGTGATGATTTTTGAAAATAAAGGCAAATAAGTGTGTCCATTATTGTGGTGTTAAGTCAGGTTAAGTATACAGTAAATTTAGTCATTTTCATTTTGTGTCATGTTTAAATTATGGCCTGTGGTGATGATTGAACATGCTGTCATGATTATATTGCTTTGTACATGATAAAACAGTTGCCACCATTGCTAATACTCTTCTGCATTTAACATATATACCATATTTTGATTACAAGCCTTTAGTTTTTTTTTATTATTTGTGGATACATTAGTTTCATATTCTTGTGTTGCACCATATCAGAAAGATGAAGAAGTTCTGAAGAAGGAGATTGGATTTTTTTATCTTTCTGACACATTGCCAAACATCAGCACCCAAAAGATTGTGTGCAGTGAATATATTTTCAATCTTTAGATACAGTTGTTTCCAACCAACTGGTACCTTCTTGTGTAGAGACTCAGGTTGTTGTTATATCTGGTGCAAGAATTTGCCTGTTGCATGACAAATTTCAGTATGACATGGGACTCATGACACACTTAGACAGGTTCTGTTCCATGAGTTAGCCTAGAGCAAAAGACTGGCACAGGAAATCTTACAATATTTGCATGTGTTTGTGTTTGTGTGTGTTTGGTTTGCAGCTTGCTGAGAAAATTGTGTGTTCCCATTAGGAATAGATATTGTTGGAGTCACTTCATCATGGCAACCCTAATTTCTAAGAAGAATAAGGTATGTATCATCAGCGTGTAATTTAGATTGTGGAAGTAAGAAATAGTAAAGAATTTTAATGAGGAAACCTCTGAAAGCAGTTAGTTGAAGTACTGATAATATATCACTTCCTGACCACCAAGCATTGGCAGTTGCCTATGACTGAATGCCACTGTCATAACTGTGTAATTTATATTTATGCTATGACATGTTCTGCGTCCTTACCTTAGGCCTATGAAGGGTTTATGGAATATAAATAAATTCTGTTCTACCATTTCATCCCAGTTCAAGTCTAGAATGAATCACACCAGGCACTATCAATAAATGCTGCTGAAATGATTCAGGTTAGGTTTTGCCTCCGAGTGTGTAAGGCTGCGGTAGTATCAAACAGTTTGTTGATTACTGGTTGTTATTGTGAGTTGATATGGTATGATTTTGTGTCAAGTATGTATTTTTGCATGAGTTATGTGTGAAGTGTTTTGCTGTGATGTGCATAGAAAAGTTTGCTGAAAATGTGTTGGGATTATACTCTCAAGTACAGGAGGTATCCACACAAACTTATTAATGAAAGCAGGTTTACTATGTCACATTTTGACAATAAATACATAAAAAATGTTATGTCAACTGAATAGAAATTGCACAAGTTGTCTTTGCACAACAGACTGGCATTTTAAAATCAGCGGCAGAAGTGAAAAAGTGTGTTTACATTTTAACCATACAAAAGCATATTTGAAAAATTACTCAGTGTCAGCCTGATTACAAGATTCAGGGCCTGTATGTATGCACATGGAAATTTTCAGAACCCCTTATACACTAAATTAGTTGCCTTCCCCCTCTTTATTAATCATTTTCACTCATATTAAGAATAATTTGCAGTGCTGAGCCAAAGGTGGGCTATTGCTGTATCTGGAACTGTCAGAATCGTATTTACCATGAAATAATTGGAAAGGAATAAACATGATCTAAGATTTTTGGGAAAATAGACCTCTGGCAACAGTGGCATACTGTACAAGATTACATGCCATCACAATCAAAATTATTTCACTGTGGTGAAGATAAAGATGCTGGTTTTCTAGGTTGATACTCCATGTGGCCTTGTAGATGGGTATCGTCATTTCGTAGGAATATTGGTACCCGCATATTGGTTCATGCGGCGTCACAATCCAGAAAACCACGACCAACGTGTTCGGATGTATTCATCGCGGCGTTAGTTTAGTGCAGTTTATGTGAGATTTGTATTCAGTATTGGTACTTTTTTGTGAGACCTCGTGTATCTAATGTCTCTACGCAACGAAAGAGAATGATTGTTGAAGTTGAAATGCTCTTATATTGATTCTCAATGTATACACAAGTTTTGAAGTATTCCTTGGTTCCTAGGTGTTGCTTGCTTTGTGGATGTGTAAGTGGTCTTTTGTGATTGTTAGAACTGATTTAAGGTCTGCATGTCTTACCACTTTTCAATTATGGTTATCATGTGTAATGCATTTTCACATTGAGGAAAAAACTGTTGCCAAGTTTTACCTGAAAAGCATTCTGCGGTCCTGAAGTGGGCCATGGTGAATTGATGTGAAGAAGAGTTTTGATTTTGCTGGAGAACTATTTCTGGACATATAATACAATTATTTTTATTTAAACATTTCCTCTGTGGTGGGGATGTTTTATGTACGTTGCCGTCTTATAGTCAGAAGCAGTAAGTAATGAGTTGTGACAAAGTATATATTACAGATTATTCATTATTCACACTAAAATCCTGCTTTTACAGTAACAGAGTTCTGCCATTTTGTTTTCATAAGAACTGTCAGAAATTGTGCAGTCATAGATATTGGTGCACTATGAAGTGATGGGGCTTGGAAGTAGTGAACTTGTGTGATTGCAGTCGTCAGCAAGCACCTGCACTACAGAGGGATCTACTACCTCTTCATCTCCAGCATCATCTGTGAATCTCATTACAACCAACTCATCCATTTCACAACCACAGCACAACATTGTTGCCAACAATAACAACAATGCTCCCAAGTATGGGACTCTGATTCCAAACCGGATCTTTGTCGGTGGAATCTCGGGCAGCACCACTGAATCAGAACTTTTTGAATTGTTTTCAGGTATGGTTTGTTTGTGTTGTTCACTGGATAGAGGCATTTGATACATTTCCTATTCAGAATGGCCTGAAACAGGGAGAGGCTCTGTCACTGCTGCTTTTCAGTTTTGCCTTAGAAAATGCCATCAGAAAAACCCAAGAAAATCAGGGTTGTTTAGAATTGAATGGGACACATCAGCTTTTGGTCTTTGCTGATGACATTAATCTGTTGGGCGCTGATATAAATAATATAAAAACGAACACAGACACACTATTAAGGGCTGGTAGGGATGTTGCCAGCCTAGAAATAAATACAGAAAAGATCAAAGTATATGATCATGTCATCAGAATTCAGGACAGAACCAGAATATGAGGGTAGCTAATGAATCATTCTAAAATATGACAGAATTCATGTACTTGGGGGTGACACTAACAAGTCAGAATGACATCAATCAAGAGCAGATTAAATTCAGGAAAGCGTGCTATCACTCGGGCCAAAATCTTTTGTCCTCCGGTCTCATATGAAAAGCAAAGTAAAGGTTAAAATATAAAATGTGTAATTTTGCTTTTTGTGCTGTATGGATGCAAAACTTGGTTTCTCACTTTGAAGGAGGAACGTAGGTTGAGGGTCTGTGAGAACAGTGTGTCGAGGAGGATATTTAGGTCATGGAGAAAACTGCATAGCGACGAGTTTCACAGCCTGTACTCCTCATTCGATGTAGTTAGCGCGATTAAATCGAGGAGCATGAGGTGGACGGGACGTGCGCCACTCATGGGGGAGGGGTATTTACAGGGTATTAGTTGGGAGGCCTGAAGGGAGGAGATCGCTGAGTAGACGTAGAGAAGACGACATTAAAATGGACCTTATGTAGATAGGAATTGATGGAGTGAACTGGATTCAGCTAGCTTGGTTAGAGTCTGGTGGTGGGCTATGCTTTGACAAGCAGAATATACAGTTGACTTTTCAAAGAATTTCCTGCACCATAGATTTGTGTTTTATGTTTAGTGGTTATAGGCAGGAGCCATCTAAATGTGTTTAGAGAGCCACAGGTTGCTGAGCCCTGCCCTAGGACAGAAATGTTTATGTGATAAAGATGAAAAATTAATGTTAACACAAGTTTTAATAAAAGGAGAATTAATTATTTGAAGTACATAGTTTATTTTTAAACAATATAAATGCAAGGCACCCCCAGCTTTGGGCATAACGTGGTATTAATTTTTCAGCAACACAAGAATGACGTTACACGCATAATGATTTTGTGCAGGGTATAGCTGTATAAGGCGGAATGAAAAGGTGTGATAAAGCTACATGAAAGAATGAGATGGATGGTGTTGTTCTTTGGTAGGTTGAATTGAACTGGCTTAGGACAGCCCAGTGGCGAATGTGTTCCATCTGTGAGTGTGTGTGTGTGTTGTTTTCAGCTTATGGAACTGTGAGGGCAGCAAAAGTGATCAGCGACCGGGCCGGAGTGTCAAAGGGCTACGGCTTCGTCACTTTTGAGACTGAGGACGAAGCGAGGCGCCCCATGCGAGATGTGAGTGGCATTAGTGGATTTTGGAGGTACCTGGGGACTGCTGGACAGTATTGTGAATTGATCCACGATTGTTTCCTTATCCACCGTTCCTGCTTTGACTTTGCGGTTATTCTCTTCTCTTTTCGACATTGCGTGACCTCTGCGGTCGGCATAGCTTCATCCGGTATCTCTTTTATAACTAGTGTAAGCAGTTCATTGGTCATTCCACCAAGGAAGGATATTGGACGATGTCTTATAAGAACTGTGGGTAGTTTTGGAAATATGTTTGTTGCACTGAAATATGACCCTTATCCTTTGTGATGGTAAAGTTGCGTGGAGTTAGGGAACCTTTGCCAGGATGGGGTGTGGCTATGGATTCTATTATTAGGTTTCAAGGCCACTTATGCAGAAATGCGTGTATGTCTTCCTGGCCGTTTATGTCCAATTCCAATTAAATTGGAATGTGTTGACAAATTTTAATAAAATTCCCCAGTATAAAATTCACAAAACATAAAGAAGAAGAGAAATGGAAACCAATGATGAAAGTAGTTTTGTATGTTGAGGAGCTTTGCTATAATACTGCCCACTGTGGCTGTAATCAGTGTGTCAATGATTTGAAAATGAGAGTTATAATATCTTGCTCTTACACGTGTTTTGACGCCTGTAGAATGGAACCATAAGTGGTGATTTATGATTTGACTATCTTGTCCATCAGTCACATCAAAATTGTGAAATTGTCATCATCTAATGATGACGATTCTGAGACCTCATGGAACTTGTTCTGACCTCAAAATTCTTGTCACGAGTGTGACATTTCCTGTGTACGTTATGTGTCGGTATACTGTCAGGAACCAATATAGTATTTCTCTAATGTGTGTAATTACTGGTGTATATTGAGGACAGTGATATTTTGTGTGTCACGGGTTAGTTGAAGCAGAAGGCAGAGAAGTGGAAGTTGCAGGTATCGTTACAGACTGCCTGGCGTTGAAAGACTATCAGGACTGTTGGCTGCTGCATGTTCTATTGTCAAAGGTGCCTTGTCTCTCTTTGCAGTCTGAATGCATTATTCTGAAGGATCGGAAACTGAACATTGCTCCCGCCATAAAGAAACAGGTGAGTGACGCACGTTTGTCGGTGAATTGGTTGGGTGATCTCATTTCTGTTAACATAATGGTAATATGGCGCAATCTTGCTAATCACTTGTTATCATTTTACTGCAGCCATTCAGCCAAACATATGAAGCCGCATCACCTCCCACTGTTCACAGCAACACTATCTTCTATCAGAATGGTGTGCCGTACACTTTTCACAATGGAGTGGCATATTTCCCAGCTACACCTACCCACCATGCCCCCGCCAGCGCCATTACCACAACAGGTGATCCTGTTGGCATGTACCAGAGTGAGTGTCACTGTGCCATCTTGTTCAGACAGATGCGGGCGGCACTTCCGTGCAGTATCAGTAATTTGGCTCTTATTTGTCCCAGCCACTTACGTGCCCCCGCCAGCCACACCCACGCACTCTCCGGGCGCAGCTGCCGCATACCCTGTGATATATCCCTGCGCAGCCCCTCCGACGATGTACGTGACGCCTCAGCAGTTCCAGTACCAGCCCATGCCAGTAAGTCTCTGCTATGTAAATCTGGTCGTGTGGCATGTTCTATTAAAATCCATAATCAGGTTAGGGACTGAACCCCAGATCACTTGAATATGGTGCAGTGTTATATTTTCGTACATGCTGTAGAGTGGCAGGTTAAAAATTCAGGTTTTGTGGTTGTCGTTTCCCAAACGTTGCTGTGTTTGCAAATGAAGCCTGAAAATAGCAAGTGTACGGGGGCATCAAAGAAAGACTGGTTTCAAATGCCTGTATTGCATGTGCATTCATGAACTTGGTGTCCTAGAACATGCAAATGTTGTTAATTTACTTGTCGGTGATGCTTCCAGCTGGAAGCAGCTTTAAATTTGTGGCATACAGTAACGGCAGCATTTGTTTTGTGTGAATTTTTTTTATGAAAAGTGCCAGTGTTTTTATGTTTAAGGCTCAGATGAGGCCACGATCATTGGTTTGTTAGTGACGTAGGTTGAACAGACTGATGCTCTCATTGACGGAAGGATGAGCTTCACGGGCAGAAAGCTGCGCATGGTCAGGATGTGCTTGCTTGTAGTTCACAGCTGATTTTGAAGCAACATCCACATTAACTAACCATTGTTCATAAAGAATTGAAAATGTTTCCATACAGCAAATGCAGATGCAACAAGCAGCAGTTGGAACAGAGGTAGGCAAGTTGACTGCATTGATTTATTTCGTCATTATCTGGAACGCAGTCCATCAGTTGCACGTCTGATGTTTGCTGCTATTGAAGTGAATTTGGTAGAAAACGGTGTATCGAGTCCTCACTAGTCATGTGGGAGACAGCTTTGCTTGCATACTGTTTCATCTGTTGGTATTATTGGCACAACTGTTTAATGATATACTATACTGAAGTTTTTCTGGAAGCAAAGTTTTCGTAACACGATGTGGCAAGACCGCATGTAGCAAATGAGGTAATTCATTTCCTGGTCAAATATTTTCATGTTAGTGTTATTTGTAATTGTTATCCTGGGTGATTTTGGCCACTGTCTTTGCCAGATTAAAAGAATTGAAGGCAAAAGGCACAGATGCCATTCAAATTGTCATTGATGAAAACTTCACCTGGTGCTAGGAAATGATGCTGGCTGCATGGTGATCACATATTTATGCGAATAAGGTCTTCCTTGCTTCATTAACTGCTTGAGTATCAAATGCAGTATGCGATGGATGTGTCTGTATTTGATGACTCTGTGTAAGATGATATTTAGATGTGAATCCAAAATTAAAACATGCTGTGGGAGACAGACTAAGAATTTGTACCAGGCAACTCCAGAAAGTGTGCGTACTTAATGTGGTCACGTGGAAATCGGTCTACGTGCCCGCCGTGGGTAAAGCAGATCGGAGAGGTTGAAATGTTGACGGCAAAGTGAGATAGGTGTTGATGACGTGAGGGGAGCCTATGTGGTCCAGCTGGTTTGTTCACATAAGTTTGAATCCAAGTAGCCCACTGTTTAATGTGTTGAGAGGCAGGAGTTACAGTAATAAGATTGTACGTTTGTTGTCCAGTTAAGTGCTGGCTACGTGACAGACGGAATGACCCAGTATCCGGTCTCGTCTCCGCTGCCTTACCTTGTACCGCTACTGGATAGAATATACTGAAGTCCAAAGGTGGGCTCACATGTCATGGTGTTGCTTTTGTTGTTAGTGTTGTGTAAACTGAGCCTCAGTGGAGCTGGGCTTGCACTGTCTCGTTGCTTATGCAGAACAGAAGTACCCGGAAGAGATGAACTCGCTGCAGAATAGAGACAGCTCACTGAGTAGGAATTTGCTGATGACAACTTTCAGTAATAAACTGCGAAGATAGGGGAATTGCCTGATAAGGAAGATTCGTGGCAGTGTTACAACTTTTGTGGAAGGGCAGTGTGAGATCACATGCTTGATTATAAAATTGTTGTGTTGTTACTGAAAAGCTTTTATTTCCCCTGGTTGAGACAAAGAAACAATTTTTTTTGTATAAAAATGTACTTTATATACCTTGACAATTTGTGTTTACAATTGCTCTTTTCAGCATGGTTCAGAGGCAAAGAATTTTTAGATTTCAGTTTTATTAAGACATGCCAATGTGAAATTTATTCCAAATCTTGTTATACAGCGAAACCTAAAATAATGTCATGCAGTGGAGGAAAGTGCAATGCCGAGGAAACAGGCGAGATGAGAGGTTCTTTTGGTGAGAGTGTGAAGATGGCTGTCTTCTGGGTTGTAACGCTGTGTGGTCTGGTAGAAGTTTACTGACATTTCTGAGGCACTTGCTGCCTCCATCACTCATTGCCTATTATCCATTACTTTTATGCGCATAGGCTGTTAAGTCTGGAACATAAAATCGTAAGATACGAGAAATGTAAAAAAATTTGCGTTCTTTATAGACACTTTGTTAGCTGGGATAAAAAAAATTGTAAAATTGTTAAGACTGTAATCATTACAGCCTTGAAGTTTCACTATGTAATGAATATTACATTCAGAATTTTGTATAAGCCGGTAGTCCAAATTGTTGAGTATGGACTGAAGTTGTAATTCATCAATAAGAGCCACAGTATTACATTTCAGCCAGAAGATTTTTGCAGCTAGATTAATAATCGTTGAGTCAACATTCTGGCTAATGGCTGGGGTTCATTCCCTCTTATACTAATGTTCCACTGAGGCTCCATTGCTGGCTGCATGTGTTTTTTCATTGTGTTAATGTTGTATAGACTGCAGTAGCGTGCAGACAGCATGTTGGTTCAGCAAGTGTTAGTTCCACATATCACCAATAGATGGCAGAGTCATATTTTTGCAGTGCACTGTCTGCATGTTGTTTTCCGGCAGTACCCGAGTGACGGGACGCAGGAAGGCTCTTTGTCCATCTTGCGTGTAAAATGCCTCTATCGTTTATTGATGAGTTGGGAAGCCGGCGAGCGAATCGGGACACTCCGAAGCGCATGGTTTGCAGTTTGGAACGTTAACAGCATAGTATTTACATGAAGACATTTTCATTTTAACCAGATTTTGGTGTCTCTCATATTTGTATTAATTTTCATAAGTGTTGATTGTACTAGGTAAAGACGGAATAATGTGAACTACCTAGGGCAGTTCTGTCTCCTCCTTCCATATTGATTATACTGCCATCAAATAACTTCCTCCCATGTCTTCTGGTCTAATCTGTTCCGTCAACTTACATATTGTTAAGTCCACGATGCTACATGTAGTGCCCTGGGTCCTCATGGTAAGGTGTGCCACAGTCT